GGCAGGTAAGAGCAGCCTGGGACCCCCACCCCCACTGCCGGCCACCCCTGCAGCCTCTGTTTTGGGGGGGGCAGGTGACAGAGGTGTTCCCGTGCTGGCGACCCTTGAGGGATGGAGGGCAGGGAGATGGGTGGCAGAGGTGTCCTCATGATAGGGACCTTTGGGGATGGAGGGTGGGGAAGCAGGCGGGAGAGGTATCCCTGTGATGGGGACCTTATGTGATGGAGGGAAGGGAGGGAGGTGGCAGAGGTGTCCCTGTGATGGGGACCTTATGGGATGGAGGGAAGGGAGGGAGGTGGCAGAGGTGTCCCTGTGATGGGGACCTTATGGGATGGAGGGAAGGGAGGGAGGTGGCAGAGGTGTCCCTGTGATGGGGACCTTATGGGATGGAGGGAAGGGAGGGAGGTGGCAGAGGTGTCCCTGTGATGGGGACCTTATGGGATGGAGGGAAGGGAGGGAGGTGGCAGAGGTGTCCCTGTGATGGGGACCTTATGGGATGGAGGGAAGGGAGGGAGGTGGCAGAGGTGTCCCTGTGATGGGGACCTTATGGGATGGAGGGAAGGGAGGGAGGTGGCAGAGGTGTCCCTGTGATGGGGACCTTATGGGATGGAGGGAAGGGAGGGAGGTGGCAGAGGTGTCCCTGTGATGGGGACCTTATGGGATGGAGGGAAGGGAGGGAGGTGGCAGAGGTGTCCCTGTGATGGGGACCTTATGGGATGGAGGGAAGGGAGGGAGGTGGCAGAGGTGTCCCTGTGATGGGGACCTTATGGGATGGAGGGAAGGGAGGGAGGTGGCAGAGGTGTCCCTGTGATGGGGACCTTATGGGATGGAGGGAAGGGAGGGAGGTGGCAGAGGTGTCCCTGTGATGGGGACCTTATGGGATGGAGGGAAGGGAGGGAGGTGGCAGAGGTGTCCCTGTGATGGGGACCTTATGGGATGGAGGGAAGGGAGGGAGGTGGCAGAGGTGTCCCTGTGATGGGGACCTTATGGGATGGAGGGAAGGGAGGGAGGTGGCAGAGGTGTCCCTGTGATGGGGACCTTATGGGATGGAGGGAAGGGAGGGAGGTGGCAAGCCCGTCCTCCCCCTCGCCCCGCCGCTCGGCCTCGCCGCACCAGAACGGGCACAAGGGCAGCGCCCAGAACGGCCGCCACAGCCACGGCGTCCCGCTCCCGGAGCCCTCGGATGTACGTAGGCTTTTCTTGGATCACCGTTCGCTTCCCTCCCCTCCTCCCTCCGCAGGAACCCCGTACCCCGGTTCTCCTTCTCTCCCCTCTTTCCCCCCTCGCCCAGCCGGGGCACACTGGGGAGATGCGGGGTGGAGGATGCACCCATCCCATCCCATCCTCCAGCACCCATCAATCCTTCTGCTGAGGTGCACGGGTCTCCCTGGGGGAGCCAACCCATCGCCTCGGGGCAGCCACCAGGTCATCCTTCCCCCCAAAGCCACGCATCGCTCTGCGGATGTCACCCCCTTCCCCGGGGATGGTGGCTTGGCAGGTCCACGTCACTTGCTGGTGTCACCACCGGGGCTCAGCACCTCCCTGGGGAGTGGATTGAGCCCAGACAGCCAAGAAACGGGTAAAGCTGGAAAATTCTCCTTCCCCCGTCACTCCCAACCCTCCCCAGCGCCAAGGTGCTGACACCAGTGCTCAGGACCCCAGCACCCAGTCTGGGGACTGGTGTTAGGTCAGGGTAGGGTTTAGAGGGGGTTTGGTGCTGGGTGCTCAGATTTTAGGAACTTTGCGTCCCTGTGGTGGGTGACGTTGGGGCTAAGCATCCCCGGCTCTGCCATGGTGCCCCGGGGGGTCCTGGTGCAGTCTGGGGGGCTCCTCCCACGCTGAGTGGGGTGAAGCCCTAACCCAGCACGTCCAGGAGGCCAGCCCCAGTTTAACCAGTGCCGGGGTGATGAGGAGCCTGCTTCAGTTAGCAGCGGGTTGGAGGCAGGGCTGGGCGAAGGCAGTGTGCTGGGGGACCCCACTAACAGGGGGCACACAGGGATCCCCCCGCTCGTCCCAGGGGGCTTTATTCCCCGAGGTGAGGTGCTGCGGGGATGCTCTGGGGCTGGCAGCACCCAACACCGACACCCCAACGCCTGCGGGGCCAGGGGCACCCTGGAAAACGGGGCCAGGAGCCCCCCCCGCCCCCCCAACTCCATATTCACGTCCCCGGGGGGGGTTTCGGGTGCCGAGGAGCCGCCCGTCACCCACCCAGGCACCCGGCTCGCCCCGCTCTCCCCCTGCCCGTCACCCCCGAGCACCCAGCATCGCCCCGGCCGCCGAGCTCCCTTGGCTCCCCGGCACCAGCGGGACTTTTCTCCGACAACTTTCTCTCTCTTTTTCTCTTCTCTCTCTTCTTTCTCTCTCTGGTTTCTATTTTACTTTTTTTTTTTCTTTCTTTTTTTTTTTTTCTTTTTATTCCCATCTGTGTTTTTCTTTAGCCTCCCATTTGAAAAAAACCCAAACGGTAATATACACTTCCATTTCTTGCTCAGCAGAAGCAGGGATCAGGGGGAGGGAAGGGCAATGAAACGTGCTTTTTTTCCCCCCCTGTTTTTAGTTTCCTTTCTCATGATTTCTTTTCTTTTCCCTTGTGATGTACAGAAATGCAAACAATATATATCTCTCTTATTCCCCACCCCACCCCGTCGTCGTCGTGGTGTTGTTCTAGAATTTTTTGCTTTTGTGTGTGTTAATGTGGAGAAGAAAAAAAAAAAAAAAAAAGGCAGATGTGTTTTCTAAGTATTTACGACCGCTGAACATTGTATTTCCATTTTCTATATTTTGAACAAGGAATTTAAAAGGGAAGAGAATCCAGCAGCTCCACACCGCAACGGCAGCAGGCTCGCTTCGATGCCACGGAGCGAATTGGCCGTTGCCTCCTTTGAATTGGCTAAGCCCCCCTTGCCTCGGCTGGTGGCCGGATCCTGCTGCCGTGAGGGTGCTTTTCCTCCACGGCTGCAGGATGAGCCCGTTGGGTGCCGGGTTATCCCCTCACCCCCGCAAGCACCATCCTGCACCCAGACGCACGCATCCCGCATCCCATCCGGATGGGTGCTGAGCATCCTCGGTACCCAGTGCCCCCCCCCGCTCCCAGCATCCTGCAGACCCCCCAAAATCTCCGCATTCAGCCCATTCCCCGGGTGAGCCGTACCCCTCCCCGGTACCCCCCAGCTACTGGGAGGAAGGGGTGCCCCGGGGCGCTGCGTGGTGTTGCCTTCCCTTTTAAATACCCCATCCCATCTCCATCCATCCCTGCTGCCTTCCCCAGCCTTCCTCCCGGGTCTCTCCTCCTCCTCCTCGCCCACACATACCCTCCGGCCCCTCTTTCTCCCCGATTTTCTTTGGGCCAACACACCCCAACAACCCTCACCCGTGTCCCCACCTCCATCCGTCACCTTCCCTGCATGTTATCCGGGATTTTGCCATGTTATATAGCGACTTTTTAAGACCGAAAGGCAGCCGGGTTACAGACACCAGCCAGCAAACTGCCTCCCCCCGCCGCCACCCCATGGCCACCCCACTTGGCGGTCGGCCACAACCTTTCCACTTAAAAAAAAGGAAAAATTTAAAAAAAAAAAAAATAGCTAACGAGAGCAATTTTTAAAATCGTTTAAAAAAAAATTAATATAAATCTAAGCAAAACAAACGGGATTAGCCGAGGGGTCTGGATCGCCGTACTAAAGAGTCCTTGTCTTTTTCCCATTCTGCCCTCCAAATGTGGAGATTATTGTTTTCTTTTTTTATTATCGCATTCCTGTCACTGCCAATTCCGAAGGTAGGTATTTTGTCCACCTCTGCACGTTCACTTCTGCAGATGAGCCTGTTGAAAAGCACCGTAGCTTGATTTAATGTTATTTTCTCTTTCTTTCTGACTTTCTTTCTCTTTCTTTCTTGCTCTTCTTCTCTGTCTCTCTTTCATTTTGTCTCTTTTTGGTGGCTATTTATATATTTTTTTTATTTGTATGGTTTTCCCCAGTTAGCTGCAAAGCCATGCTCTTCTCTTACGTTCTTTATTTATTTTTTTTTTTGCCCTGTCCACGTAATATTTTTTTCTTTCTTCCCCCCTTTTCTCTTCCCCGTCTCCTCGTGCCGTCGGTAGAATGCATTTCTGTGTCTTTCAGCCCTCCGACTTTGTGTTCGTTTCCATCCAGGGGCCGAGCACGGCTGCTCCCTTTCAGTCTCCAATTAGGGGTCGGGTAACGAAGGCGAACGTAATTAGTGAGAAATAGGGGCGGCGACCAGAGCCCACGGGGAGGGGGATGGGGAGCAGCAGCAGATCCTGGGCCCAGCGGGTTTTGGGGTGGATGAATGGGGCAAGAGATAAGAAACTGGGGGAGATGAGTGGGTTTAGCCCCTCCTTGGGCCACAGCAGGGAAAAAAAAAAACCCAATCCAGGGAAAATATTGGGGGGCTGCGATGGGGAAAAGTTGAAATCTTCCTCCGTGGAGAGAGGCAGGTGCAGGGCATCACGGTCCCCGTGGCGCAGGGGATGGTGTCCCAGCTCCGGCTGTCCCATCCCTTTGCCTAGTTAGATTTATTTGGGATGCTTTTCCTTTCGTTGCCTTCCTGCGAGCCTGGGCAGGAGCCCCCTCCGCCCCAGGGGTTGGGTGGGCATCCCGAATCCCTCATCCCGAATCCCTCATCCCGCATCCTGAGCCCGCGGCGTGGCCAGCCGGCACCGCATTGCCGCCCTGGGAAAGAGGAGACCCCTCTCTTCCTCTTCTCTTCTTCCTCTTCTTCTTCTTCTTCATCTTCTCTGCTTTGATATTTCCCTGCCTGGACGCTGGCTCAGGGGCTGCTGTATCCCCTCGGAGGGGGTCCGTGTCCCCCCCCGGCGCTGGCAGGGCAGCTTGTGCCATGGGCAGA